GTATGGATACACAAGATTTTTTAATCAGTGTAAAAAAAAATCCTCATTGATTTACATGATTTTGAGGTTACATTACCATCTGATTATCGTATCCTTAAATATTTTTTCAGTTGAATTTCTGCAAAAGTTACCGTACCACAATGCGAAGGGACATATACTATGATAGCAGATGTCATCCACACATACATTGCACATTTACTGAATAGCTCTGTTATATCAATACAGGCTACGGCTTCCTCCTTGGCTCAAGACAGAGATCCCCATTGGAAAGAACTACAACAGGCTGAAGAACACACTGAGAAACCTCAACCTGCACACTGTAAGTTTCATATCTGTGAGTGCATGGATGTCAGTGTTGTCTAATTGGTGTGCACAGACATATTGAGACGTCTCAAATATGACCTTGGTATACGAGAGGCCAGGCGATTTATGGTACCACTGCTTATGTGTTACTGTTACAAAACTACTTGCCTTTTGAATACTGTTAACAATTTAGATATTGTTTGTCCACAGGGTATCTGCCGGTCTTGAAACGTGGGTTTTGTAGTTGTTTAGTCTGTCTTTTGTTCGTTTTGTCATTTTACACCCTGGGTCTAAAAGCCCAGTTCTTGGGCATTTGAAGATGTGTTTCTCTTGTCTTTGTCCTCAGGTGTGTGAGGAGGCCAGGTGTCCAAACATTGGGGAATGCTGGGGAGGAGGAGAATACGCAACGGCCACAGCCACCATCATGGTCAGTCTCCTGGCGAACTGTGACTCTTTGATGTGCAGCTGAATTCACTGCCAGTTATGGATTAACCTCTGATTTTCAACAAAGGAGCACTTTGATATCGTTTTCTGTACACTTGCTCTCTCTCTGTATACAGCTGATGGGAGACACATGTACCCGTGGATGCAGGTTCTGCTCGGTAAAGACGGCCCGTAAACCCCCACCTTTGGACCCAGACGAGCCATACAATACAGCCAAGGCCATCGCTGCCTGGGGGCTGGACTACGTGGTTCTCACCTCAGTTGACAGAGATGGTAATGACCTCCTATAACAGTGTATCCTCCCAACTCTTCCCTACTGTTACTGCTACTTTACATCATTGGCAGCAAAGAAACCTCTCTCAAAGCTGGAAGATAAACTGATGTAAAATTATTATGTATTCTGGACTTTTCTTAGCAAAGTAAACTCAGAGCTTCAGTCCATCTCTTTCCACACTCTTTTCCAACACACCATGCTTTATGTACAAATGTTTTTTTTTTGTTTTTTTTTGCCAACAATATCTTCATCAGGATGGAATCTGAGGTTGTTTCTGATTTCTTTAGATCTGTCAGTCACATGACTTATAAATCAGTGTAAATACCAACTATTCAGAAACATTAGTTATTTTCCCACAGATTTTAAATAAAGTTCACAAAAAATACAAATGTCTACAAATTCAAAATAATGGCAATAATGGCCTGTTCTAATGCCAGTTTTTCCTTTTTGTGCAGATATTGCTGACGGAGGGGCAGAGCACTTTGCTAAGACTGTCTCTAACCTGAAGGAGAGGTAAAGTGTCCCATCCCTTTTGGATATATTGGGAGTTTGTGTCTTAATATTTGTGCAAAATTAATAAATAAGCACCTTTGTCATCCTCATCCAGAAATTCTCAGATCCTGGTTGAATGTCTGACCCCTGATTTTCGTGGTGACCTAACAGCTGTAGAGAAGATCGCACTGTCTGGGTTAGATGTGTATGCCCACAATGTGGAGACAGTGCGTGAGCTGCAAAGGTACTTAGACTCAACATATTGCTTCTGTATTTTACCAGCTTGTAGTTTCTGTGTTTTTATAACATAATAATGCACAAAGTTAGAGGCTAAGAATCTATTTTCTGTTGAAAGTCTTAATGCCTTAAATTCATCAGATGTTCAGGCTGATATTAGTGAAATTAATCAAATTCATTCGATTAATGACAACAACAAACAGTTTCAATGAATTGTCTTTTGGTATCCTCCAGAGATGTTTCAAGAAAGATAAAAAATAATCTGCTCAGCAATATTATTTGTGTCTGATAGGTTTTTTCTCCAAAAAGTTGAGTGAACTAGTTAAAAAAAATCCTTAAAATGAGATCTGCTCTTTTTCCCTCATTGTAATATCCAGAATTTATGAAATTTATGAATATGCGAATATTGTTCATTTCAAAAGTTTAACTACTAGAGACGATATTTCCTACTGAAAAGTCCGTTCTCAGTGTATGTGAAATAGAGGCTTGAAGGTTCCATGTCGCAGTTGTTTAAGTTGCATCTTGACCGCAACTGGCTCCAAATTTGTTTTGATGTCACAAAATCATCTCATACGCATCCTGTTAAACAAATGAAAACAAACTCTGCACAAACCTGAGTCTGCACAGTGAAGATCAATGTATCCAAAGTATCTGTCATCAAGCCCAGCTGGTAAAAAATATTGTTAATATTTTCAAGATAGTCTTTTGTGTAGTTGTTTTAGTCTGTGTATAAATAAAAAGTTATAGTGTTGGTTACAGCTCTGCCACAAGAGGGACGTCTGTCACATAGAAGGAAGAAGGTAATACACACTACGACCAGCAGGTGGCACATCAGAGCCATTTCCCTGCTGTTAGTATAAATACTAGATGAACTGCAGAAGTGGAAACCCAGAGAAGACATTGTAGTGGTTTGGTAATCTTGGTATATGTTATCAGTGTAGGGATATACAGGATATTTACCTTTTGGATGATTTATTTCAATGGCTCAGGATGTTGTTCTGTCCCATCTCTTTCCAGGCATGTGCGTGACCCCAGAGCGAACTTTGACCAGTCTCTGAGTGTCCTGAAGCACGCTAAAAAAGTCAAACCCACTGTGCTTACCAAGACTTCCATCATGCTGGGACTGGGGGAGACTGACCAACAGATACGCGACACCTTGACCGGTGTGTACTTTCACTAGTCACACACACAGACACACTTAAAACATTCTGACGTAAACTACAATGATTTCCTGATCGCGCTGTTGTGCTGATGTTGCAGAGCTGCGAGAGGCAGGAGTGGACTGTCTAACACTTGGGCAGTACATGCAGCCCACTAAACGCCACCTGAAGGTAAGCTCCTTATTCTCTGTATGGGATTCTCCATTTACTACGGCAGCAGGGAAAAAGCACTTTTAGTAAAATGACAACACGTGTTTTGGTTTAGGTGGAAGAATACGTCACTCCAGAGAGGTTCGCCCACTGGGAGAAAGTTGGGAATGATATGGGCTTTGTTTACACAGCCAGTGGGCCACTGGTGCGATCCTCCTACAAAGCAGGTGAGAAACTTTACATAGCACATATACCATACATGTACAAGTCATAGAGAGCCCAGTCCAGTGCCATAAAGGACTACCTTATTCAAAATCCATTTTATTCTAGCTGAAACTCATTACTAAGATTGAGGCAGCAGCATAAAAGGTCAATTTCCCCAAACTGGAAAAAAAACCTTTCTTAACCCACAGTGACATCTAGACATGCAGATAGTTTGAGTTTTTTTGCTCAGGTTTTGAGATTGAGACCACGCTGAGGTCTGATACTCAAGACTACCATTCGTTATACTGATGTAGAGAGAAAAGGTGCAAAATACAAGAAGACTAAATTTGTACATTTTTCTAAACCAAATCCATCAGTTTTTTCCAAATTATTTATTTTAAGTTTTATTTTGAAAGGTGATACAGGGGTGTGGGGAGGGTGTGGGGAAAGAGGCATAGACATTATGATTTTCTGATTTCTTTGGGAAGTAATTATTGTACTGAATAATAACTATAATAGTAACTATAAAATGAAAAGTCTCACTACGATAACACTAGCCTTAAGTTGTTGAACTGAGAGGACATACGATTCATGTAAAACTAAAAAGTATGAGTCTAGAAGGACAAAATTGATCAGTTTTTTTTCTTTTTACAGGCGAGTTCTTCCTGAAGAATCTACTTGAGAAGAGAAAAGCAGAAGTCACTATAGCAGAATAAAAACCAGCAGCTTCTACAGTCTGCCCTGCATATTACCTTCATATATACTTTTAACTACACGCATTTAGTTACAAAATCAGCTTTACACTTGCAGCGGCACAATGCATTGTTGTAAACCATAGCACAGGAAACACATTTATCATAATGAGTAGGAACAACCTGTGCAGTTAAAAAGAAGCAGGTGGCAGTAAATAAGGGTACGGCAGTGAGTTGTTACTGTCTACCTGTGGCAACCCAGAGGTCTCCTGTACATTTTAGAAGGAGATCAAAGGGAACAAAGCAGTAAGAGGTCTGCAGATATGTAGATAACCAGGGTGCAGACTGTGTCCACGTGACCCTGCCAGGAGAAAATACAACCTGGTGTGAGCGGTAGCTGTAATTTGCCATCTCTGCACCTCAGGGGCCCCTAAATTACACCCACCATCAACTCCCTCCCCCTCAGGGGCCATGGACTTCAAGTAAAGAGCTACTGACCTTTCACAGCGAGCACTCTGTTTATGAGTGCTTTGATGTCTGCAGTTTCAGGACCAATGATTTAATCAAGCAAGAGGGGTTTTTTGCTGTTGGTTTGAGGATTCTTGCAGCAACTCAGAGGTAAAATTACATGATACTATAACAAATCTATACCTGCTAAGGACTCCCTTTAAAATTTCTATTTTATTACACTAGGAAAAAGAACAAGTAGAGCCCAAATTGGCCTCTCGTCAGGTACGTCATATCAAAAGAGCGACTTTTGACACATCTGTATCTAAAGAAGAGGTCATTTGGGCTCAAACAGTGCTTATTCTAATGTACTAAAATTTAATTTTACACCTGGACAAGAAAGATGTATTTATTTTGCACACTGACTGTTTAGACAAAACAAATCTTTAAAATGTACATTTATATTTAAAGAATTAAACCTCCTCAGTCTACATTTGCTGGTTTTCACTTCTGTCAGTTTTTTAAAAATCAGTTTAGAAGGAACAACACACCCAAATTAAGGACACACATCACATTTTATTGCATTGGCCCTATTAGTAAACAGTCACTGATACAGAGGACACATATTGATTAACATACAGTAAGATGATTTATAAAAATATTTTAAAATATAGTATAAAAATTTGCAATTTAGCAATAATACTTGATTATATAGTAAATACTGTAAGAAAGTAGACTAACACTAACTAGTGTTCCTTTAAAACTGACTGCAACAGACTGAGCACATACACTAACTGCATCTGAAATGTTTGGTTCATAAAGGCTATTTAACATGAAATGTATAAAATGAACTGTTGCTGGAATGATTTATCACTGAATTTCTTCCACACAATTTCGTACCGAAGGCTTAACAAACCTTCTCCCCTTGAGCAGTAGGCGTGTACTCACGTTTCACCAACAATAAAAAGGTTGAGAGAGGAATGTGGTGTGTGTGTGTGTGTGTGTGACTGGTGAGGTCAAGTGAGGTTTAGACTTTGGCTTTCTTGGTGGGAGGTTCAGTGGCACTGATGCGAGGACAAACAGCTGCCGGGGTGTAGGGGATTCTTGTTGCTGTCACCTTCTTACCGATGGTCTCGATCTGTGGAGAGAAAACGTTGGACGGTGAATGGCAGATGTTACTTGTGGCAGTCAGTTCATCAGCTGACGTTTTTTTATATGAGAAGCGTGTGTGTGTGTGTGTTAGTGAGTGAGGTGTGTTTTCTGTCTTCTTACATGGAAGCCAATGTTCTGGAGGTGAGGGTGGAGGTGGTCCAGCACTCTGCGACCATCAAATATAAAGGCTGGCTTCAGCATTTTCTTATAGATCTTCTCGTAGTCCAGTTCCTATGGTGGAATTAAGGGGGTGTGACTTTGAAATTCATGCTCCCAGATTCCTCCAAGATGAAGCAATTCATAACATGAAAAAAATAAGTTATTCTGACCTTAAACATGTCCCATTCAGTGCAGATGACCAGTGCATGTGCACTCTGGCAAGCCTCATAAGGGTCTGAGGTTACAGTCACCAGCTCCGACACTAAGAAAATATCCAAAACAAATGAGTGAAATGTTTGAATTCTGAACATCAAACAGTGTAGTATCTACTAAATCAATTACTGAGCATTTATAAGCCGAGTGTCTGATTTTACATTACATTTACACAGCAGTTAAAATGTATTAGGAAAAACTGGCAATTACTTGGGTTTTGCTGATTTCAATTTCTGGAATTTCTTCTTAAAATACATAATAATACATAATGTTAATCAATCAAAATAAGTTCTATCTAAGGTTGTAACTAAGTTATTGGCGTTTGGTCAATAAAACAGAAAATAGTAAAAAAGATAAAACCAAAGGACACTGAATTTACTATCATAGAAGGCTCAGAAAATATTCAGCATTTAACAAACTGTTTAAGCATTTTTGATTACAATTATTTAGACAATTGACAATTACCAAATAAATGACAATGGCTCTTTTGTCAGTCACCTTTAGCAATGCTTATCCTTACTAGTGCATACTCTCTCCAAGTTGTGCAGGGTATTTTAAGGTTGTTTCACACAGTTCATAGTTGTCCATGACTTTTATTTCTATATATTGTTTTATATATTTACCAATATATTGTTTACCAAATTTGAATATTTTTGTTGCTGAATATGTTTGATATGGCAAAAGGGTAAAATTGGTTATTTTTATGCCTTTTAATTTGTGGTAGTGATTAAGCTTATTTTCTGGGAGAAAAGAGTGTTGCAAGCGGGTGGTGGGGATGGTACTGGAAGTGGCCTAAGGGATTTAAGACACTGACCATGTAATCACAACTTTCAAGTCCAGTCTATGTTGCATGCCTTTCACTCTCTTTCTATTCTCTCACCTCCTGTAAACTCTCTGCTCTATCTTATGTAATAAAGACAAAAAAATCTTAAAAAAAAAAGAGGCTTTGCAAGCCTTTCAGAGCTGCTTTGAACCTTTGTTAACACACACACACACACACACCTCTTTCTGGGTTGTCCTCTGAGATGCTGGGCTGGGAGAGGTCATGAATGATTTGTTCTTTAAGAACTTTGGGGTCGTAGATGAACAGCTTGGCTCCCTCATCCATCAGATACTTGGAGATGTAGATACTGGATGACTCCCTGGAGTTGCGACACGAACACACGCTCTAGTAAGGTAAGTGTTGACCTGACCGGGGCCATAGTTCACCACGTGTGCGCATTAAAATGTGATCAACTGTGACTGCATGTTTTGTATGTACAAAGGGTATATACAAGGGTTGACAGGGCTCTAGAGGCCTTTCATCCAAACAATGCCAAGTTAATGAATAAACTGACAAAGCTGATATGGAAGAAATATCAAAGACAAACAAATAACCTATAGATTACAAACATCTACAAGGGTGTGAGAAGGCAATGTAAAAAAACAAACAACATGAAAATAGGCTCACCTTGTGTCACCTGTATCTTTTTTGAAGGAGAAGCCAAGCAGAGCAATCTTTTTGCCAGTAACAGTGTTGAAGAGGCAATCAATAATCCTACAGGCAAACCGCCGCCTCTGGTACTCATTCATGTCTATCACCTGAGAAAAACATAGACAGACATTGAAAATAAGGTGAATACAGATAGAAAAGACCTCCAGAAAAGTCAAGGTGCTAGCCTGTGTAGTTCTCACCTGCTGCCAGTAGGAGGCGACCTCAGGCAGGTTGAGGGCCTCGCACAGATACACCAGATTCAGCACGTCCTTCTGGAAACAGCTTCCACCAAAACCTGGTCAGTGTTACAGAGGCACATATATGAAAGACAAAAATGTACCAATCTCTTTACATAGAAGCTCACTTGAAACATCTTATGGCCACTCCTCTTACCCACGCTGGCTTTGAGAAACTTGCTGCCTATTCTCTGGTCCATGCCAATTGCCTTGGCAACCTCCTCCACGTCAGCTCCGGTGGCCTCACACAGAGCACTGATACTGTTGATGCTGCTGATTCGCTGTGCCAGGAAGGCATTGGCTGCCTACATACACAGACACACACACCATGTTTTTTTTTTTTAGATTGTACAACACTAAAATACAAGAGCCCACTCAAAGGAACACTCATTTAGAGCTGCAATGATTAGGTGAGTAATCAACAGAGAAAAAAAAACAGGCAACTATTAAGACAACCGATTCATAGTTTCAGTCGTTCTTCAAGCAAAAATGTGAGATGTGATGCATGAATGTGAGAATTTTCTTTGTTATATATAGAGCTGCAACAATAAGTTGTGAGATTTTGCTGTTTTTCTTGGTTTTGCATAATAAAAAACAAAACGTTTTATCAGTTTGATTGGCAAAACAAGGCATTTGAAGACATACTGTGACAGTCAATTTTAATTGTTGGTATTATTGTTGTTTTATAAACCAAATGATTAACTGATTGACTGAGAAGATAATTGTTACTTACAGCCATACTCATATATGATAGTAAGATGATTATCTTTTGGTTTTGCATTGTTGGTAGGATAAAACAAGCAATTTAAATCTGTCATCTTAGGGTCTGAGAAATTAATGGGCATTGTATAATAAAACTGACTTTATTGACAACAAGATGATGGAGTAATGGAGACAATAACCAGAAAATTAACTGATAAAATAATCCTTAGTTATAATCCTACACTCACCAGTTTGGACAGCTCGGATGACCATGTGTTGGTGGTGATGATTCGTGCTTTGGGAACCCAGTGTTCATAGACGGCACACAGAGCTCTGATTGCTCTATAACCTTCAGCTGTTTCATCTCCACCAATCAAGACACGGTCTGGCTCCTTCAGATCCCGCACCGCTGTTCCCTCTGCAAGGAACTCTGGGTTGGACAACACCTAAAGCAGCAACACGTCTTTAGAAACATGCGACAACAGATCAGAGAGAGTTTTGTACATGTAATAATACACACTTGTAGGTTGAGGCTGGGCTTGGTGTTGGCATCAAATATCCGTCGAATGCTTTCAGCAGCTCGAACTGGGACAGTGCTTTTCTCTGTGACAATCTTGTAGCCATCAGACACCTCAACAATCCGCCGAGCACACGCCTCGATGAACTTGAGGTCAGCCGCACGACCCTTCCCCATCCCATAGGTCTTTGTTGGGGTGTTCACCTGTGGAGCAGGTGCAACCAATGGTGTGTTAGAAATGTCAGATTTATTTCTTTAGCTATCCAAACAGCAGAAACAGTGTTGCCATGTGTTGTCAGGGGGAACCGATGAACTCACAGAGATAAAGACGAGGTCAGCTTCCCTGATGGCTGAGTCTATATCCGTTGAGAAAAACAAATTTCTCCCTCTGCATGATTCAACCACCTCTTTCAGACCCGGCTGAAATGAGAGGAAGTGGGAAAACGAGAAATGGAGGGTGTGTCAGTGGATGCGTAGGAAAAAACATGGCATGGTTACAAGTATAATACAAGTTCACAATGACTTGTCACCAATTTCCATTTAGACTAGTTATTCATGATGACGCAATACCTCGTGGTTGTGGTTGACGTAGAGAAGTTACGAAACAGTCTGGAACTAATTTATGTTTCATTTTAGCCCACGATGGAGTAATACAGTACAAAAACAGTGGCTTTGCCTAGCAACATCTACTTTTTCAACAAGTTTAAATAATGAAGCAACAGTTATTTCATAGATGTCAAAGGTGAGATAAGAATGTAGGGGAAACACACATGGCATATCAGTGCTCCTAGAAAATTATGACTCATGCCTTGATAAAGTTTCACAAGAAATTACACATTCCGCTGCTATAATACCTTTAACTCTGATTTTTTTTTTGATAATAACATTTAAATGCTACCTCATATATGGGCAGAGTGTCTGAGTTCCAGGCTTTGATGCGGGACTCATTGACATCCACGACAGTCACTGTGATCTCTGGACACATCTGGGCGATCACACTGCATGTTGGACCTCCTACATATCCAGCACCAATGCAACAGATCCTTTTTATCTGAAACATCTGGAAATGTAAAGACAGGATAAAAAAAATAACATAAAGCACTCGAAACACAACTTTTTATTGGGCTGATTTAATCCTAAAGCCAAGGCTGCATCAGAAAAGTTAGTTTAGTTTCTTTCAATATACCGTAACTATTCTCAGTCAACAGTTCTCATTTTGAATAGTTCTGCTCAAATCAGTTAACATGGTTCTTCTTTTACCTTGCCAAGCTTTTAGAGCTTTTAAGATTAGTCGATTTATCATTTTGTCAGGTGTTGATATTTTAATAATTGATTAACTGAAAGATTTGCTGCCTTTCTGTGTCTTATATGACTTTTAATTTCATATCTTTAGGTTTTTTAATGTTAGTTGATCAAAAGCAATTTAAACACATTACCTTTGCGATTTAGAAATGTCTGATTGTGAAAACAATTAGCACATGAACTGATATTGTTTTCAATATCAGTTCATGTGCTAATTGCTTGCTGATTTATGTGATTGATATTGATTAGTTACAGCCCTAGGCTACACTGTACAGAGTATGTTCATTCTGTCCATATACACCCAGTTGCCAGTTCATTAGGTACACCTGGCCAAAACTAACCCAATACAACAGAACCAACATAAATCCTGCCTTAATGAAGGTTATATTGTTCAGTTTGTGTGAAGTGTTGATTAAACTTTATGATAATTGCGGAAGCTGTAGTTTGTCTTGCTGTGTTCAGCAACAATTATACATTATTCAAAGAAGAGTTTCTGTTATTTAGGCTACACTAATTGATATGAATAGGGTGGACAAAATGATAGAAACATCCGTCAGTATAAAAGTACGACATCACCACAAACGACACACTACAAAATTGACCATAAAGTTGAATCAACACCTCTTTCTCTTCCTCTAACATCATAATCTTCATGGTAGGAGGATTTATTGCAGGGCTACTGTTTTAGACTGCATTCATTTTAACTAGGTGTTCCTAATAAACTGCCAACTGAGTGTATTTCACTTTGCTAATAACTGTCTCGACATCATGAATTTAAGCTACATGGAGCTGATTTACTACAACATGCAAAGCTCTATCAGAAAAGTTGAGCTTGGTTTCTTTCTAACAATGTGGTTTTCCCTTCGTCCTGTTCAGGTGAAATAGCTGACCGGTGCTGCATAGTACCAGTCGTACCGTTACAGCCTGGTAGAAGATAAAGAGCCTTTCATTGCAGCTCAGCCACGTCTAACACAGATGAAAAACGACCTTTTATCCCATGTACCTTTCAGCTAGTTCACGTTAGCTGTGCTACAGAGCAAGAGTCACTGCTTGTAGAGTAACATTACACATGCACAATATCACAATTAAGATAGTATACCTAATTTTTCTTAACGCGGCAAAGGCGAACTCATCACAAGAAACAAATGAATGGACGACTGTGTTGAATCAGCTAGCTATCTTAGCTAGCAACTGTTAGCTAACGGTACATTACCTTTGCCAACTCGACAATCAGTAACTTCAGGAAAGCGCAGATTTTGTTTTCTCCTGTCTTCAATGTGCCTTGTCGAGACAAACGCGGAGTCCGGCGCTGCTGTTCTGTTCCACACTGTAGACGTCTTTAACTAGAGGTAAACCACCGCCCGACGAACAAGTAACTCCTCTTACAACTTTTTAAAGCACCACCTTCCACCGGCCTACACTGAGGCACTTCTGTCAGGGACAACCACATTCTCCATAACACCGAGGAACAGAAGAGGTGCTTCCGGAGTGGTATTTCAAAGTAAAAGCAAAGAATTATTCCGCCTTTCTTGATATAAATGGGTTACATACTACTACTTTTATTAGATACACCTATCCAGCCCTGCAATAAAGGTTATAAAGTTCAGTTTTGCTGATACCATCTCAGAGAGGTGCTGATACAGTAGTCATTTTTGAAAATCAACACCTCTCTATGGGGCCCCTTTACCCCCCATCTTCTGAATATGGACCATGCCACCCTTAAGTTCCCATTAGAGGGAAATAAGTATTTTAAATCTGTGTAAGAACAATAGTTAGCTGTGGATATGAACTCTGATATAGGTTTTGCTTTCTGTAACATTTCCTCCTGTTCATCCTAGCCATGAACACGTTTCTTCTTAAAGTGATTTCAATGTGAGACATGGTAGACAAAATTTCCAGTCCAGTACTTTTTAGTATTTAATTCCCTCCTGTTTCCCTGTTGAGCTGCAGAAGTGTGATAACAACAAAAAGAGGACATTTTATACTAGAAAGGCTCGAACTTTGGTACATATCCACCTTAATAAACTAATATGGATAGCTGAAGCCTCACATTAGCCTCTGATAAACTCCTTGAAAACATGACTTAGGATTCTGTCTCCATACCTTATATTCAAAGTGTATCAGGAGGGGATTGTTTAATGGCCAGTATGAACAGTTTCTGTTTCAGTGTTTATATGGACAGCTGACAATTCATTTGAAAATGTGAAACTATTCTTTAAGTCTAGAGCAACTGTGCTGGAACAACACCTTTGGGATGAAATTTTACATTTCAACATGCATTGTTTTCATTAGAGTCAAACAACACTGGCATGGATGTGAACATTTCCAAGCTTTGTGGGAGTCTTTTACTGAATAATGGAGTAGGAGCAGACCCAATAGCAGGTCACAAACAAATGCCCTGACAGCACTCATTCCTTAGGATTCAATGTATTTAAGCTGTAAATTGAAAATGCTTCTCTCTATTGAAAAGTGTCATCCCAATGCTGAGAGGGAGAATTTTAGTTTATTGTGTTGTTGCATCACCTAAGACATTATTAAAGACATTTTTTAAATCTTCAATGTTCAGTAGCTCAACAAAAAGCACTGACAGAGAAGTCAGCGGACCTTCTACATCAACGTGCTTGCTGCGTAACATTCTCATGTACAACATGGTAATAACGTACCAACACATTTGTAAAAAGGGTTGTGATATTGCAAGCAATCACGTTAGGTTTCCTTTCATATTGATATGTCACCCTGTCACATATAAATTACATTGTACCACTTTTCTAAACATACTGTAACATTTCATCAAAAAGCATAAAACATAAACTTGCACTAGATCTGCTGGCTAATACAAAACCCTGACAAAAATATAAAATTTAACAGGTTTCATCAACTATGTTTAAATGCATACTTTTGATACAACATACAGTACAAAACTTGTAACTTAAACTGTAACATAGCACCCAGATAGTCAAGCGATGCTATGTCACATTTCAAATGTTATTTTCGAAATGGTATTGTTTTATTAGGAGGGCTCCACGGTGGAGGAGGACTGTCTCTGAGAATTGCTTTTATACGCCTTTCTTCTCTTTGTCTCTTTTGTTCTAGATCTTTTCTTGCCTGTTGGGAAAAAGAAAATCAATAATAAGAACTAGAAACATTTACAAACACCACCACCATAAGCACCTCTGAGTACTGCCCGATCTAAGAGAACTGTCAGCATTATGTAAGAAGTCACCGTCAAGAGCTCACAACGCAGGCTGGTGGGGACTTCTTATGAAACCATCTTCCCCAAAAACAAATGAACAAGCAGAAGCACCTTGGGTACCATTAATCATTGGTATCCCATGTCATTGCACTTACCAACCAGTTTTCATACATCTCTAAGGCCATTTTATCTTGCTCTTCTTTCATGTATTGTTGTTCCTCTGCCTTATTTTTGATTTCTTTGCGCTCCATCATGACTTTATCATGGAGATCATCTTTCTTCTTTTCACACCTTAATCATTTCAAGAAAAAGGTAACAACAGATTTAGAAGAGGGTTACTTCACTTTTCTTGTTTTTATCATAGAGGTTTGGTGATGACACATCGCTAAACATCGGACTTTGGCTGCCATCTAGTGGCTGATCATTTTCACACCCAAACTGATTTGAGTGTAATGGGTTAGTACTATTTTTGACCCTGTAAACGCTGGGATGTTTACTTTCAGAACCCAATAAAAATGTTTAAAATCAAGAAAAATAAAGTGATGCAATCAACAAAAGTGCTATCTCTCTATTAAAACGTTGAATATTTCATCACTCTTTAAATGAGAGAAATAAATAATAAATGAAAAAGTAAGGCATTTACACTCACCAGTTAGAGAAGGCTGATTTGCTCTCTCTCTTTCTTTCCTCCTCCTTTTCTTGCTTTTTTAGCTTCAGTTTATTTTCCGCTTCTTTCTGTTTTCTGCACTTATCTTTGAGTAGATGATCATGCTCATGTTTCCATTTTTCAAATACCTGTAATGGTTATTAAATTATTAATTAACTTTCCTCCTACACACACAAAGGCTTGTTATATATTTCAGAGTAATACACAATTGATCAGTGACATACCTGTTTAGCAGACTGCCTTTTTTCTTCTTTCTCTTCACTCGCTCTCTGCTCTTTTCTGATCATATCTTCCTTTTCTTTGGATTTTGCTTTGAGACTTTCTCCTTTCTTTTCTTTCCAAGCCTCATATGATGCAACAGCATCTTCCTTTTTAGCTTCTTCATCCTGTTTATTTTCAGAAACATGGTGAAGATATATCTTTAACCAACACGTGTTTCTTGTAATCTTTAGACATGGTATGTTCTGTACTGTACTGTAATTCCTGTCTACAAAATTGATTATTCACCCTTTTCTTTTTTTCTTTGAGGATTTCCTCTTTCTTCTTCAGTTTCATGTTCTCTCTTGACTTTTCCTTTTTCTTTTTAAGCCATTCCTGGTAAGAGTGGACAAGGATTTTTGTTGACTGAGAATGCAGTGTAGATGCTAGAATGCCCTCTATTGACATAAATAATCAGTGTGCAAAACTTGCACATATCTTTCTTGTGGAGGAGTCTAAAAAAACTGTAACTGTGATTTCTGGCCACCTGGACTCGCAAGACTGTTAAATGTTCCCTTTAAATTTTTTATTTTAGTATATCAGTAAGTACAATGTTTTGAACCCAAATTCTGTACCTGATACATGAGAGTAATGTAATAAAACCTGAGAATAATGTGATAAAATAGAAATTATAAAGGGGGTTTTTAACAGGATCTAGTCCTTGGATAGCAGAAATCACAGTCTACTTGCAAATATCGACAGTATACTCTATATTTCCTATATACCTGTACTGTAAAGGTATAAGCTAAGGGAAACTGCACCAATTCTGTAATGTTCTTCAGCATATAACATAGAACACAGAAAAAACATGTCTTATTTTAGACTCTTACATGTGCGTTCCTCCTCCATATTGTTTACATTCAACATACTACTAAAAAAGAAAACACCGGCTTGTTATCACACTGACCTGGTAAATGGCAGCTCTGAGTGCATCTGCTGCTTGTGGCTGAGACTCTTGTAGTGACACCTTACGGTCCAGAACTTTGAGAGTTCCCAAATACCTTGATTCCACGTTTCTTGAGCATGCACTCTGAGATCTATGGGTGGTCTTTGAGTGAGAACTTGAAGTCCTAATTCAAATAAAATAAAATGATGGTGATTCAAGTTATTATCCTGTTTTATCCACGAGGATCTGTGCTGCTACTGGTCTAGCTTGGAGAGAATTACCTACCTGGTGTCAAATGACTTTTCCTGGGTGTGAGAGAGTTGAGCAACAGAATGATCTGAGTGATCTCCTGAGCCTTCCTGAAAGAAAACAATGAACAGATTTTATGAAACTAAAAATAATACGAACAAGAGGCAGAGTATATCTTATATGAGGCTAACTAAAAGGTCAAAGGATAGCATGAAGAATGTCTTACATGAAATTCTTCAAATGATGTAGAGTACTTTCTCCCATGCTCTTTGCTGTCATCAGAAATAAAGTCATCTGAAATGAGAAATCAAATATCAAGAGGATTAATTGGTTGAATATACAATTAAAAAGAATAATGTTATTGTGCTGAACATGCCAATTATTACCTCTGGATCCAGAATCAACCGTAGACTTGGTGAAAGGCTGTGACTGGTCACTCCTATATGTAGAGGATTTGCTGAGGCTATATGAAACTGTGTGATCCCCGTCTGTCCACTACAATCAAATAACATAACAAATGTGCTCTTCTAGGAAAACCATTCTGAAATATAAAATGCAGAATAACCAAGCAATGACACACACTTGTGGACTGCAGCTCCTCATGGCGGTGTTGCTGGATGTGTCAATGGAGAAGGGAATGGATGCAGAGGAAGTCTGGGGCCTGCTGAGATCCTGAGACTCAGTATCTTCAGCCAGCTTCTCTGCAGCGTGAAGGTTCAATCCCAGAGTCCGTTGTCTTGGTTTGGGTCTGGGTGGCTCCATCTCAGTAGCACTGTCTGAATAATAACATAATTTGTGGAAATATACTTACATTCAAAATTAGGACTGATAGTTAGAAGCATGAATTGTAAAACAGTGTAAACAGACCTGCTGCTGGCACATGTTTGAGGTCTGATCCTGATAGGTGCGGACTCTGGGAGTTTTCTTCCATAACATGGTTGCTCTTCTCCTCAGGACCTGGAGTTTCTGTCACACTGCTGTCAGATGGTAAAGGCAAAGACATGTCCAGAAGGGCATCATCTGAGGTTTGGTATGACAGAGATTTACTTGAGCTCTCTCTTGTGATTTGGGGATCAACAGACTCCACAACACTGTTTTTAAATTGTGTGTCATCTTCGCTGACATTTGTGGAGTGTTGTGAGGAAGATGATTTGGTGTAATTATCGTGTCCACCAATGGAGGACTCTGGTCGCTTGTTTTCACGCGACTCTGATGCCGTTGTGTCTTCTGAGGGTGAGTGGATTCTTTGGGTTTTTAGGAATGAAACTTTCTTTGTTCTCCCGTGTTTTCCTTCATCATCTGAAAGCTGAAAGTCGTTGATTTTGGCTTTACTCTTGCCAGCCTTAAATGCATCAGTCCTCTTCTTTCTTGATTTGAGGAGTTCATTCAAGAAATCTGTGAAATATAGAAATTTAGTAAATGAAAAAAACAGACCTAGAGGTACAACAATTAGTCAATTAATTAATTAGCTGATCGATAGAAAATGAATTGGCAATGTACAAATATTTTAATAATAGTTTTAGTCATCTTTAAAGAAAAAACATCAACATTTGGTGGTTGCAGCCGCCAGGATAGACTGGATATTTTTGGGTTTTGGACTGTTGGTCGGACAAAACAAGACATTGGATGACATCACCTTAGCCACTGGGAAATTTTTTACAGGCATCTCCGCCTATATTTTGACATTTTAATAGTATAAGATATATTAGAGGTATATGAGAAAATAATCATCATATCAATTGGTAATGACATCAATTGTTAGTTGCAGCCCGAAGATAGAGCCATCCATTAAACTGATGTATTTACAGGAAGTTGACAAAACAATTGTGACTGAAAATCCTCTTGCTAGCTTTTTTCTCGAGCTTTCAACTGCATCACAACATCCCTCTCAAAGCAGGTGCTTGCTGGCCAACTGAGCAAATTCCATCCACTGAGCAAGACTGAGAGATGTGGTTGGAAACTACAGACGTATATGAGTAGTAGACTGACAATGAGTTAAGATTTCTTAGTCACACAATTCCATCAGGGAGGTGTCTGGTTGGTCCCAAATTCATTCTGCAGCATGACAACAATCCCAACCATACAACTAGAGTCATAAAGAACTATCTTCAAATACTAGAGGAACAAGTAGATCTGCAACAGATGGTCTGGCCCCCACAGAGCCTTGAACTCAACGTCATGGAGCCAGTCTGGGATCACATGAAGAGACAGAAGACTCTGAGACGGCCTAAATCCACAGAGGAGCTGTGGCAAATTTTCCAAAATGTTTGGAACAACCTACCTGCAAAGTACCTTTGAGAAGTAACTTTGTGCAAGTACACCTGGGGGAATTGGTATTGTTTTAAGGGAAAAGGGTGGTTACTTTTCCACAGCATTGTAAGTACCCCCTAGGGTACAAAGAATGATTCATAGCTGCTTAAAAGGGAGAGACAATAAAGCACCCTAAATCTCGATCTTGTGTACGAACCAGTGTTGTATAGATATTTTGATGTTCTGCCATCTTACCATCGTCATCCTCATTGAAGTCATCAGAGTAAGAGTAGTGATCTGTTTTCGTTTTGCTTGCCCTGGCAGAGACAGCAGCCTGAAGTTCATCCTACAAAGACATAATTTCAGATTGACATGACACCTCATAAAAAGCTCTTCAGAAGGCTATCGGTTTAACTACTCCACTCACTTCATCATTTCGCTTTTGGTAGGATATCCAGAGTACATGCAATATTTTTTTCTTACCTGAAATGTTGTTCTTTTCGATGTTTTCGGGCTTTTCGTGTAAGCCAGTGTGCTGAACCGCTGGTTTGACATCCTCAAAACTATAAACACGTTCCTCTGGTAGCGCTTACTGACATTAGCATGCTAGCTATTGTTCGTTAAGTTCATTGTAACAAGTAGACAGCTACTCGAGCTTCCCGTGCTACCATTGTGGTTATATCGCCATTGTGTAAAGTCTGATTGCCACATGATTATCGTCTGGTTCATTACATACCATACAGCTACATAAAAGGTGTTATCGAAAGGCACACTCACATAGCTACAGCGTGCTAGCTAACTTGTTGATGGTAACCCAGGGAAACCCGCTTCCACACTGCGCATGCTCAAAGAATACCAAAACAGATTGGACTTGGAGCGGCTGAGTGACATGACCATGGATGTATTATAAGAATATAATATAAATATAATAAGTTCTTATAATACATCTATGGAAATTACTCATGCAAAATGGCCGAGGTTAGTATAATTTATATCATTATGTAGTAATTATTTATGCATTAATATGTACTTGTGTACCCTCCCCGTTTTATTTTCTTGGTATTACATCATAATTTATTTGTTGATTATGTTTTATATAATTAATTTGAATCTGCACAGTTACTAAAGTTACTGTTAGTTGTAGTTGTGTAAAGGAATCAAGTAGCAGAAAATGGAAACACTCAAGAAAGGTAGGAGTTCCTCAAAGTTGTGCTTTAATATAGTACTTGAGTAAATGTACTTAGTCACTTTTCCTTACAGGCCCACACAGAGCAAAGGAGTGAAGTTATCCTCAGTCTCGCATGAATACACCAGTGTATTATACTGACATTTTCAGGTCCTCTACTTAAATAAAAGTGGAAATACCACAATTCTCCATTACAAGTGTTCAAAATTTTTCTAAAAGTATAGCGGTATCAACAGTTATGTGCAAATTCAATAATTAAGTATCAAAAGTAAAGGTTTTGCAGAAGAATGGCTCCTATCAGAATTAATAGTATGTGCTGCATTAGTGGATCACTACTACTGATAAATGAGTAATAGTAATGATAATGTGTAAAAAATCATTCTATTTTTATGACCATCACACATTTTGTATGTAAAAGCTTAATCTGCACAGTAATATAGGTATACAATGAATGTAGCGGAGTAAAAAGCAAAATATATTCCTAAAAATCTAGTGAAGTATAAAGAAGCTTAAAATGGAAACACTGTACACTAACATTACAAATTTTCCTGGTTAAAGTTCACCACTGTATATATATATATATAATATATTCTTATATTGCTTTGACAAAAAATGAATAAAATACTAAGTAAGTAATTCAGCAGCAGCTGTGTGTGATAAGTTCCAGCCAGAAAAAGAACTCTTTTTCACTAACAACACTACAAGTGTGTATATATGCTTGAGTGAACTGAGGAATACAAGCTTCAAACAAAACAGAACCAGGCAGTAAGACTGAATTCTTTTTATTTTTTGTTTTGTTATAGGAAAAGTGCATAGTTGAAGCCCTTTTACTCTTAAACAGTAACAGTGTAAATCGAGGTCTCCTGTGGTACCAGATAGTCCCGCTGTTCATCTCAACCATCTAACATGGCTTCCCCTTCATTATTTACAACTACTTATGATTTACTGAATATTTTCCTTCTCATATCTCCTCCCTGCCATATCCTTTGCAAGTCTAGTAAGATGTATTAAAAAAAATTGAGGACATTTGCTGATATGGAAATGAAGAGTAGCCAGCCACTGAAGACAGTTGGTATGAACTCAGCCCACAGTTGTTGCAGATCATATCCTTCAATTGTACAACTAATCCAAGTAATTTCTGAAATCACAGATACCTTGGAAAGTAACACAAGACCAAGATGCACTTTAATAACCATGTTTCCTTCACAGGGGCATGACAAAGATCTTGACAAAATACAGTCAGTGACTAGAAAAAGAGGAAACCCTTTGTCTTAAGTGTTGATTCCCCTCTGTAATTCTGAGGCTGTAGTTTGTGTTGCTGTTGCACTGTTATAAATATGCACCCACATTTACATACAAGTATCTTTCACCACTGGGGTTTCTATTTTTCTGTTCACTAACTGCATTTCAACCTTTAATGTAGCTGAAACACCTATAAAACTGTTTACATTTAAAATCAATCACATATTTAGCAGAGCTCCGAATCAACTGAGTTAACAAATATAAGAAAATAACCCTTTGATGTAAACCATGCTAATAATAAGGAAACATCACAAAATTTCTACTGCAGATGATTCCATCGTCCTTTCCCCAACATAAATCTAAAAATAAAAATGACCTCCAATATTGCTGTTCTTTCACAAAACGTTGTTCTCTATCAGTACTGAGAACGGACCCATTAAACTACACTGGCACTGTTTGAAAATGCACCTTTTCATTTCTTTCCTTTTCATTGGTTTGACATTAGTTGTGAAGTATAAACTTTGGATTGCTCCCGTTAATCACAGACTGCTGTGATTCTCAGTAAGAGAAGAACAGGCCCCCATCCCCACAAGGCCACCATTTTTAGACGGTAATCAGTACAACACACCTTCAAAATGAAATAACATACCACAACAAAAGTGCTAATAAAATATGATTCTCAACTACTAATAAGTCAGTATACAATGACCATTTTCTTCTTTTAACCACAAAATAATTACAGTACACAGAATCACCTTAATATGATTAAAACGTATTTTGTTTGTGCCAAGTATACTGTTTTACTGTTTTTACTGTTTTATGACCAGACCTATTTAACCCTGTTTACCTGCAGTTTGTTTCTTTTGAATCATTTAAAGAGACTCTTGACTGAGGGGGATTGTTATCTCTGTTATGTGCATCAAATATTATGTTCACATTTTATACAATAACCCATAACTTATTGGAAATTTATTGCCCTCTTCATCACTTATATTACAGGAACCAAACCATCTGATACTTAAAGTGGATGTAATCAATATTCTTATGATAAAAATGTATCAAATGGCAATGTGAAAACAATGTGAAGACAATGTGAAGACAATGTGAAAGGGGTTGCTGGTAGTGATGAACATACACAGAATTATCACCTGAAATCAGCAGCTCCAGTCAACTTTACAGAGTTTTATAGCAAGTTCCAGCTCATTGTTTAGCTGTCTGGCTAAAAACCTTATTGTTTTGGTTCACTCTCACCGCTCTCATAGTGTTGTTTTCTGTTTTCAGAGAAAAGCTCTAAAACCCCACTATGCACTACCTGCTCAGCACCATTTAGCATTTAGCAGCTAAAGAGCCTGACATTGCCCTCAGGAGTTAGTATAGACCAAAAACAGAGCTAAAAGAAAAGTGAAAATTAGGCCTATATTCATCAAGTGGATACAAACAGGACTCCATGTGAATGAGTGCTAATGTTGCTCCATGACTGCTGGATGTGTAAATAAGCAACCGTTTGCCATATGAACATTATAGGGTGATAATATGTCATTGTTGAGCTCACAACCTGTTTTTGAGTTGGCAAATAAAATCAGTTTAAGGGACAGGCATGTTATTGGAAATATAGTTTATAGTATATTAGAGATCTGAGTATTTGTTGGCTCAGGAGAATATGTAATCTGGATGTAAACACATAAGATTGATTAACTGCATCAAAATCAACATGCCATATTATCGTGCATGAAATACTAACTCAGACTTCAATTTAAGCAAATAAATCTATTGAAGTCTGTCATTGTGCTGGTTTAAATATGCTATTAAAAGTGATATGACATAATTACTATCACTGTTTAGACTTGTAACTTTAAAGTGGAAAGAGAGGAATGTTTTAAAGAGTCTGAAGAACCTGCCACCCTTCATTACTCAGCAAAAACCAGAACAACAATTTAACTGCCCAAAAACTTCTCTGCTGCCCCTCTCCCTTCTCCCCCAACCCATGTGAAACATTCCTTCAATTTGAGCTCATGTCTGAGTTTCTGAAGATCTGTCTGCACCAGAGCTGCAAAAAGGAACTAACTCAGAATGATGCCACACCTCTGGATTAAAGATGTGATGAAACACAACACAGAAACCCAACTGATGCATTAACACACTGATATTGTTGGCTAATATTATCGGTCAGAACTGGCTTATCACAGGTACATTATATCACCATATATGTTGGCAGATATGCAAAACCAAGGTTTTTTTGTTTTGTTTTTTGTTTTTTTTGTTTTTTAAAGATGTGTTTTTTGTGGTTATTATGAAATTTCCTGTCAAAAATGACCAAAGCTGGAGCAGAGGCAGAATAACTGCCACCATTGTTCATGTTGTGTGTTTGTGTCAAAAAATTAATATTGATCATTATATCATCTAATGTTTTTCAACACTCAAATGTCATATATCCATTGGCATCATCAATCCATTATCAGTTGGGCTCTAGTAACAAGAATCAAAGACAGATCTACCCAACAAAGATGTGTTATTAGAAAAAGAAAATAAAGCAAAAGATATTTGTATGAAGGTTGACAGGGAGATGACGCTGTCTTGGTCATAGTTACTAGCTAACTGTGCAGCTCCAGTCAGAGCAGGTGGAGGAGTGCTGGTAGAGTGGCTCCTCTGCTAGTCAACAGGAGGTGCTGGGGGCTCTCTTCCATCGCTCTGTAACCCAAGACAGGAAGATATTTAGTCTGTCAAATAAAAACAACTGAGCTATATTTGCAGACAGATTATCCAGTATGATTATATCAGTATGAAAGTGATGTCACTACTTTTAAAAAAAAAATAGCAACTGTAAAATACTCGATTGAATATATTTAAAATGGTTTCTAGCTGTAATGCACAGCATGAAAAAGTAATTTTTTCTGATTACATATTTATTTGCAGTTGCCAGCACTTGCATGCTCTGCAGTATAAGGTGTGCACAAAGTTTTTTACTACTTAGGCATTCATATACCAATACATGCACGCACGCACGCACGCACACACTAAATAGTTTTAAACAAAATAAATATTTATAAATTTGGGCATATGAATGCACTTCTTATTTGAACATTTCAGTGTTTCGTCATGGAAACAAGGCAGTAAAAAGTTCAAACTTTACAAGACATATTACTAATAACTAGCATACACCAATTTAAGTCACCATTATTTACCATAGCTGATAATGTGGCTTATATCTTTTAATTTATATTTTTTTTATCCAGTGTTAATATAAATCAAATAGAATTTTGTTTTTGCATTTGAACAAAATTCCACAAATTATCTTTTATTTAATTTCATGAGAAGCAGATTTCCATTCCCTCCTACATTGTGAGTCATTGTCCATGAGATGCTTTAAGTGCCAGGCAAACCAAAGTGGAGCAGTGACTACATGTGAGATGACATTGTTTGTGATATGAAATATGTGCGGTAAGTACTGACATTGTGGGGTCCAGTGGGTTTGCCTGTGGGACGGGGACCCCTGAGACTGGAGGGGCGCAGCAGGAACAGGACCAGAGCCACCACCACCCATCCCATCAGAACCATGGGAAGGGTCAGGTCACCTCCTCCGCCCACTTGCCCGCTGGGACCTGGCACTGAACACAAGCACATCTTGGTCACATATACAATCTACACTAGTATTTCTGATTTGCGAACATGTTTGAGTGCGGCAATGCGTCCGCATGCTATGACACAATATGAAAAAAGATAAGGTCTAATGTGAACTAAGTGAAGAAGTAGTCATACATACATTCTTGAGGGCACTCTGTGTCTGTGCAGTAGGACTGAGATTGCCTCAGCTGTAAAAGAAATTGCAGAAGAAATAAAGTAGATGTAACAGAGAAAAAGAGTAGGAAAAATAATATCATTAATTCTCCCACTCTGACTTTAATGACTGCATTATTTACTCTGGTTACCACTGCCCTCATCTGGGGAGACAGAGAAACACTGCTAGAGACACTGCCAATAAAACTTTGTGAGTTCCTTATTACATCAGGTGTGCAAACACATGACCCCCTCACCGCTTAATATTATCAACGGCACGTATTCACATGTGGATGGCGCTAAGCAACCAGCTGAGTTTGCCTGCTTTCTAAAATATACTGTAGCTTTCTGACTAAAAATGCTGTGCAAATTCTTTCATTATTTGGACAACACCCTTTCCTGCTGCTAGCAAATCAGAAAACCCTCAGGGTGGCTTAAGCTCTGAGCCAACTGCAGCTTGCCATGCAAGTTACACCTGTGCACAAAGAGCCAATGAGGTCACCGGAAAAGTGACACACATAACTACAAGCTGTAATCTTTGATACCCTCAGAAACTCATTTTAGCTAAACAACACTTTCCATTAAGAGGAGCAAGAGGATATTTCCAAGCACAATGCAAACCTGACAACAGACAGTGCAACAGAGTGAAATGTCTCTGCGTGGCAGAGCTGATAGGTTCTCAAGATAAACACTGAGCAGGAACCAGGATATGTTGCCTCAGTGTCACTCGGTGGCTTTTCATTTCCTTCTCCCCTGCTTTTCTAGAGACTTTCAATTACCTGACAGTTGTTAATCTCTTTGCTTCCTTCTCTTGACTTCAGCAGGAGATATTTTCATTTCACACTGCAAACTTGGAAATACTTTGACCTGTCCCTGCACCTTATTTCTGTCACAATGAAGTCTGCCACTCAAATTTCCAACTGACATTTCAATTACTTACCAGGTTGATGAGGCGCCTCATAGCATACTCTTGGGTGCAGATGCACTCACAAGGGTCAAAGCCTCCCTCTGCCATTTCTCACCGGACAGTGTTGTCCACCTTGGATCAAAACAAAAGTACTGTATTGAACTAAGACACACATGAACATGAGAGAGAAACCTAATGCTGCCTGTTGTTAGTGCTGTGCTCTATTGTTGTTTCACAAGCACACACGTATTAAGGGAGGAGACTGTTCAGTTAGGACAGTCAGCAGGCTCTGCGGCTTCATGTAGTACAGATTTAAAGAAATCATAAATCTCATTGTTGAGATTTATGTGCAGACATTACATTTTCCATTTAAAAAATAAAATATATAATGTACAATATAGGGAATTTTGTACTGTTCTGTCTTTGCACTATTTTACACCCGTTTGTTTCTGTCTTAGTGGTGTTATCTTTTCGCACTTTATGTTGACTTCCTTGTCTACACTGTTAAACATAGTACCATTTGTCTCTGGGAAATTAAATGTCTTCCCTTATCTGTCCTTGCATATGGATGCATTAACAATAAAATTGTCTTGAGTATTAAGTCATGGTTTATACATAACCTTAAAAATCTTTTTCATCTTTGTTCTGCACTTTCTTGTTATTTACTGGCCAATGTACAGTGCTGTGCACTTATCCATCACACAGTTCCAGTTACAGTCAGGGTTATAAAGAACTATCTTCAAAGACAAGAGTAAGAAGAAGCCCTGCAACAGATGATCTGGCCCCCACAGAGCCTTGATCTCAACATCATGGGGTCAGTCTGAGATCACATGAAGAGACAACAACCTACCTGCCAAGTACCTTTGAAAAGTATCTGTGTGCAAGTGCACCTGGGAGAATTGGTGCTGTTTTAAAAAGGAAAAATGTGGTCACGCCAAAGATAGATTTAATTTAGGTTTTTCTGTTTACTGCACTTTGTATGAAGTTAACTATTCATGGTATTGTTTTTGAAAGCATTGTCACTTTACTTATGGTGCCTCAAACATTTGCACAGGTCAGTGTGTGGACGGACTGACTGATCACTGTTTCTACATAACCTTAAACACATCTTTAGTATTTCTGCTCTGAAGCTTATTATTATTATTATTTTGACCAACGATTATACCCACAGCAATATATAAGCAATAAGCCTATCTCGTCCGATATATCAGTCCGGCCACTTTATCTGTTTAGCTGAACAAGTAAAAAAAAGTCAAACATGTTTTAATCAATGTAAGTATCGCAGTTTCTTCAGTATATTTCTATGGTCAGTGTTCGTACAATGGAGTATCGACCCCAAAATGCTAAAAATGTAAACTGCACAAAAAACACACATGACATGCATAGGTTGATCTTATATACATTTTGACCCAGTTACAGACAGTTGTAGTTGCTATATACACATGTACACGTTATATTTTCCGTGGGTGGCCGCCTGCATATTTCTAGAATGACGAACAAACCAAGTGCCAGTTTAACTCGACCCTGCAGAAATCCAGTCAAAGGCAGCTATAATCACTTCTTAAGAACCAACTCCGGGGTTTTACATCTTACTCTCGAACGAATTCAGCCAACGTTAGACTAGCTGCTTGCTAACCTAGCTAGAGAAAACTCACAGCCATGTCCTTTTCATGAACATATGATTGGAGACAGATGTGGCTGCGAGCGGCACCGAAACCCAAATCACTTACTTGAGCTTCGTCGATGTTCGGAAAACGTCTCCTGTTGTTGAAAGGGTCTGGGAGGTGGAGGTGCTGCTGCTCCTGCTGTTGCACTGTTGCACTCCAACGACACCGTTAAATCGCAGACATGTCAACCGACCGTCTGTGTTTTGTTTAATACACGTGAACCAGCCAGCTATTCTTCACGACGCACATCCGGGACCTTCTCCGGTAGGCGGGTTAAACGTTTCTTATTGGGCCAGAAGTTTGATGAGCGGGCCTTTGGACCAATCACAGTAAGGAACAATTAGAACGTCTGCATAGTAAACAAACAGTGCAGCTGTCTGTCATCATACATAGGCAAATAAAGACTTCTAACATCTGTACAGCTGTTTAACCACATATACAATGGTGGGATGTAACTGAACTCATATCGACGGTGAGTCAAACTCTATGTATAAATTAATAAATGGTTATACCAAATTCTGTAGTTGTAAGTGTTAATAAGCTGTTTATAAATGGATTTCGGTCCAGATGTCATGCAGCCCTTTACCAGAACTGTTCAAAGTCCATTAGAGGGACCCACTGTTTTGTTTTTTAACTCAACATTATTTATATAGCAACTTTCATACGAACGTGTAGTCCAAAGTGCTTCACAGAGCAGGATTAAAACAACCACCACACTACACTAAACAAACACAACAACCACACAACACACACACACACCACACACACACACCACACACACAACACACAACACCTATAAAAATGATTATGTAAGATTAAAAATTTACTACCATAAAACAGTAGAATGATGAATAAAAGTCAATAAAAATAAAATAAACACAAGGTATAAAAGTCAATCAAAAAAAATCAATAAGAAATTAAAAACGGAAGCAAAAGTTACAATATTACTCTGAATTAACATTACTCCAATTTAACATTACTCTAAATTAAAAAAAAAAAAAAAAAAAGGATTAAAGGATAGGTTTTTAATTTATTTTTGAAAATACCAAAAGAACTTGCTGTTCTAATATCCACAATTTGGGGATAAACAAAAATAAAAAGCAGTTTCACCAGTATTTTTATGGAACACATTTAAAAACACAGTGACTATCACTGTCAAATAAATATATAATAAGATTGTTTTGATGAAAGTTTCTGACATTAAACTGTTGTAATGCATTTTGGCTGCATCTTCCTTAATTTATTCAATTTTTTGCAATTATATTTTCACAACCATCTGCCAGCCTGTTTATCAGTCAGTGCAATAACATGTGATGGTTAATAAACATTTCCGTACCATGTAAAATGAGAAATGGTTTACACAATTTCATATGAGAACTTGCTTTATTTTAACAATTATTTTTCGTGCGATGGACATTAGTTTCTTAATGACATATGATAGCTCCTTATTTCAAATAAACACACTACCTTGTCAGGGCAAAGGTATATATTTTACCTCATGGTATGGAAGCCTAATTAAATGTAGTAATACCGCCATGTAAAAACACTATTACAACTAAAAGTTCAACATTTTACTAAGGAAAAGTACAGAGATATCAAGAGCATATTGTGTTGTATCAAAAGTACATACAAATCAGAACAGTCATTCAGAGTTTTACTATATTATATTATTGGATCACTTATCTATTAATGTGTAAGTAGCATTATAATGTATCATCTCAAGGAGGAGATAATTCTGTTGGGTAGTTGTATCATATTTTCCACTGGAATGGTCTCACTAAATAATTAAAGACCTAAAGACAAGAAGAGATGTGCCATGCTGGAGGAGGATTTTCCACAATCTGGCAACCCAAAAGTTGTTATTATTAATGGTTTCTAACTAGTCTATACAGCAGAAGGAAATGACCATTAACACTGAATAAAGTCATTTATTACAGCTTATAACTTTACAAATGGTGCCGTATCAGAGAGTGGTACACGTCTGTCATATTTGTTTACATTTATTTTTCTTACTAATTCTAATTCATAAAACCATAAATAAAATGCCCACAACAGATCACAGTCAGAATGAAAATACTGAGTGTTAACAGTGCTAGAAATCAGATGTGTTCAGCACATGATGAGAAATGTCCTGAAGGCGAGTTTGAAAAGAACATAAACCCATGTTACTCTACCCCCGGAGCTCATTAATGAAAGTTCCAGCTTGTACTGTATTTAGCCGCACTGTGTGTGCATGTTCTGGACTGACTGACTGACGCTGTCCGCTGGCAGGCAGGCAGGCAGTCCAACAGCAACGGTGAGCTGCCTCTGAAGTGAAAAGAAGCGGTAGACGGTGAAAGTGAAAGGAGGGCTACATAACTGTGAAAAGCACCGCGCACGCAGTCCCCATACAGACAGACAACACAGGGAGAGAGGCCCCGGGTCTAACGCTTCCAGGCAGCAGCAGCAGCTCAGCGGACACAGCCATGGCTAACATCGCGGTTCAAAGGATCAAGCGGGAGTTCAAAGAAGTTCTCAAAAGCGAAGAGGTGCGGTAACGTTACTGGCTTTTTTAGTTTTTTAGTCAAGTGCAGCTCCTTCTTTGTTATTGTTTCAACTCTATTGCAACGTAAAGTGTCAGCAGACCTAAATTACCTTTGCTAACGTCGGGTCCCAGTCCTGTGTAGCAGTAGGTCAGGCCTCAGCAGGAGAACTTCAGCTATAGCTTTAGCTTGATTATCAGTGTCTGGCCGAAGCACTCTGGTTATGTCAGGTGGGTGTGTTCAGGAAACACCGGGGATCCAGTTTGACAGGCCCTCTGTTCCTAACAAGCAGTACCGCATACCTTTGGCTAATTACCTAGCTAAAATAAACCTGGCTTATATGGGCTACAGCACACGCCTCACTCGCGACACGGTAGCTGTCTATTAACGTCAATTTAGTTACTGTCAGCATGGTTGAGCAGCCTTTAGCCTGCTAACGTTATTTTGACACCTCCTCTACAGTTAGCATTAGCTTGTGGTGTTGTGCTATAATGTTCACCAAGTTTACAAACTTATCAAACGTTAATCAGCTGTTGGTTTCAATGCAGAGGGGTTGTGGATACTAAAAGTGTGTGTTTTGTCTGCTAAGCCTCGTTTTTGTGGGTTTGTAGTTAACTTTTGCTAGCTTGGCTCTACTAGCAAGCTATCTGTGTTGCTAACGTAAGTGTCCTAACGCTTCCTGCGAAACTCTGTAACAGACTGTTATTTCTTCATACAGAAAATGGCAATTGCTTTGTCTTAAGCAGCCAACATGTCTGTCGCTCCACATTTGTGTGTGATTTCATACTTGACAGAGATATGTCAGGACTCAGGCTGAGACCTGTGAGTCCATAAATACCAGGGTATTTCATTGTGTCCCTCTCATTTGTCCCAACTTCTAGACAAGTAAAAACCAGATAAAAGTAGATTTGGTGGATGAGAACTTCACAGAGTTGAGGGGGGAGATAGCAGGTCCTCCAGACACACCATATGAAGGTACTGCCACATGCCTTATGACCGATATTTGCTACAAGACTTTCCTGTTATGAATTCTCATTCTAAAACATTTTTTATTGTTTTTCTTTCTTTTTACAGGTGGCAGGTATCAGCTTGAAATAAAAATCCCAGAAACCTATCCTTTTAACCCACCAAAGGTATATGCTTCAGTATCATTGATGTGGTCCTCTGTAAAATGAAGTACTTGCTATATGTCCTTTGCCTCTTTCTCTCACTCCTGCCTTTACATGCACACTATTATCCTGGTCAGCATAATGGTTTTGGAGAAAAAGTTATATTCACACTTCATAAAGCTTGATATCTTAATCTGTTTTTGAAAAACTTAAATATGCTAATTGAGGTACTCTCAAAGAAAACAGGATACTCTGGCTTGTAAACATCTTATTCAGGTTTCTGATTGCTGTCTGCCATTTGCGCAAGTTTGTAACTCCACTGAAACAATTGTTTGTTGGTGGAAGAAATACTATAGTAATAAATTATACAGAGACAATCTGAGAGTCTGATACTAACAATGTGGATGCTAAGCAGTATTGTTTCTCCAGTCTTAGGGAATTACTGTTGATCCAATGGAGAAACCAAATCAATCAGAGCCCGGCAATAGAAAATGAAACTGTGATTTATCCTGCACTGTAGAGGGAACCCCGAAGGGACAGAACAGATGGTGTCTGAGATCTTGAGGACTGAAAATCAGGATACCGCTGTGCATATACATGTACCCAATGTAACTAACACTAACCATTACCTCACTATTATTATCTAGATAACCTCTCCCATCTGTCTTTCTTAGGTACGTTTCATCACTAAGATCTGGCACCCTAATATCAGTTCTGTGACAGGAGCAATATGTCTGGACATTTTAAAAGACCAGTGGTGAGTGAGATGTGTTTGATCCTTCTGACCTATAGTGCTCAGTGTTCCAGCGTTTACATAAGTGAAAAACCCAACTTTTGATCTGTGTCACCCAGGGCAGCTGCTATGACACTGCGGACAGTGTTATTGTCTCTACAGGCTCTCCTTGCTGCAGCAGAACCAGACGATCCACAGGATGCAGTAGTAGCCAACCAGGTGAGAGAGACATTTTGTGTTGTTTGATACAGTAATACTGCCCAGCACAGCAGGAGTACAACGAGGGAGCTTTTTGTAGGATCATATTTCAGTAACAATGTCTGGTGCTGTCATTTTTTGCCAGTGTTGTTCTGTGGACAATTCAAGGCATTAAAACACAGTCTGTCTCTCTCTGTACTTTGGTGGAAATCTGAAAATAAAGAGTTGACACATGACCGAGTTGTCTTTGTGTCTTTTAATAAGAACTTTGCAAAGGATCAGTGTACAACAGATTGTAATTGCAAACTGATGTCGAACAAAGAATGTACATGCACTTTATAGAGGAAAGAATAGAGGAGGCAGCGTCAGGATGTGTGTGTGTACAATTCTGGGTACCATCAAAACTGTCAAACTGTCAAGGAAGAAGCTGCATTTTTAAGGAGAAGCAACTCCTTAGTTCGTACCAGACAGCAGCAGATAAGGAGCATACATGTGAGGATAGATTTATGTCCTAGGTCATATAAAGTCAGGTCATGAGAAATACAAAACCAGGTCATACAAAGTATAAAAAATTTGATTTTTCTATCACAGTACCTTCACTTGTTGCTGTTTTTTTTTTAATATATATATATTTAACCATGCTCACTGAGCTCTCTCTCTCTCTCTCTCTCTCTCTCTCTCTGCATCCTCAGTATAAGCAGAACCCAGAAATGTTCAAACAGACCGCGAGGCTGTGGTCTCACGTCTATGCTGGAGCTCCTGTCTCCAGTCCTGACTACACACGTAAAATAGACAAACTCTGTGCCATGGGCTTTGATAAGGTCAGAAGCACTCTTTTTTCTTTTTTTTGTTGCACTGTAACATTCATATATTGACCATGGTGTAGGAGGGGAGAATTTTGGGGGGCAGTGTTGGTTTGGCAGTAGAGATTAGATCAGTTGATTGTCAGAAAATTAATAAGCAACAGTTTTGATAGAACTTTAGTTTTGACTGATTTTTTTCTGACTTTAACTGAAGCATTTGAGTGTAAACTTTGATGGTAAACATATGATAGTAAGTGAATATTTTTGGGTTTTGGACCATTGTTTGAAAGTCACTTTGGACTTTCAACTTTTTTTGATAGTTTTCTGACATTTTATAGACTGAGCTACTTAATAGAAGTGTTAGTTGCTACCATATTTGATAGCATGCTAGTCAGAGTGAACAAGGCCTTGTGTAAGCTCATTTAAGTAAATATCAAAGGAATTACTCATAACGAGGCACAATTTATTCAGACTTAATTACCATGGAAAGCATTTCTTTCACTTGTATCATAAGGTTCACACAGTTGATGGTCATGAGAGCATGCAACTTATTTCCTTTCAAATTGTTCTTTCAGTTTTTTTATGAGCCTGACATTTGCAAATGACACAGAGGTTACAATAATTCTTAAATTCTTGTTTCCCCTCATACAGAATGCAGTAATAGCGGCCTTGTCTTCAAAATCCTGGGATGTGGAAACAGCGACAGAGCTGCTCCTCAGCAACTGAGAGCCAGCCAGGTGTGAGGATCCCAAACCGACTCCCTTCATCACAACATCAGCTCCTCCCCCGGCACATTCCGCCTTTGCCTTTTGTTACACAGACAACACCCCATTCACCACAGCAGTCGGAGTCTTCTTTTTATAACAAAATTTATTTGCTACAAACCTAACACCGGTAGCACCACAATCGCCAATATGCACACTACACTGTTGCCTGTCTGATCCCATGCCGAGTCTCACGAAATCAAAAAAGTTTATCCTTGTAATAAGCCCTGAAAACTTTGTCATGCATCTTGTTTTCCATGCCTTTTAATCATATTGGCTCTGAAACTTTTTTCACAAATTCGTGTTCCTTATTATTGCTAAGAATCAAATGTAACTGCCAATTCCTGGTGGATTTTCCAGGGTAAAATTTGAAAGGAAATCCTGCACACTGCTCTCACAGCACATCACCATTTACTCTTTCAGCAGCGAGTTGGACCTTGTGTTAGATTATTATCTCTCGTATGGACATTTAATACGTTAAAGGTTGTAATTTACGTTTACTTGACGGGATAGTGTTCTGTATGAGCAGTGTAACGGATTTTTCCTGAACAGTTTAATCAGAGATGCTTCAATCATCAGCAGATGTTTGGATGTACAAAAGTTTTTCTTTCTGTCTGTAGAAGTAGAAAAGATCACACAGACATCCTCAGACATCCGCACACATGCACAGAAGAAAAAGGTTATCTGTAAATAGATGCGTGTAAATTTGAAAATACAATGGGGATATACTTTTTTTCTTACATGGCATTGTAAAACAAATTATTTTAAATATAAACTATGCCTAGTTTACAACAATATGGAAGAGATATCTTTTTATGCTTTTGTGACCCATGAGAACTCCCTCTGAATGTCCTGTTGTGTTTTCTCTTTAAGATTGTTGTTTAGAGGTGGCACAGCCAACATCCTGGCCTTAAAGGCACAGAAGGTGACAGCCAGCTCTGGCCCGTGAAGTTCATTACATGCCACCTTCTCTGCTACACCACCACCCAACCTTTTCATGTGTCTTTTATTGTCCTTGCATGTTCTACGCTGCCTTTATATTTTGTTTGGCTAAATGATGTGGTGATGGGGGTGTCTGTTCGATTCAACATCCCTTCAGACTTGTGGAGCCCGCAAGACTCTCTAATGTATGGAAAGAGACACCTGGAACTTCTGCTCGGCAAACCACTCAAGCACACCCAGTTTGGCGTGAAATCAGTAGGGAACCAAAGCCTTTTCTGTTGATTTTACGAGTATGTCGCTGGAAAATTTTCTCCTCTCTGAACAGATTTGTCTGGCACACCTCAAGATGAAATGAGTGTTTCTGAAAGTTATTAAGGATTTGAGTTTGCAATGCAGTGGTTGTATTTATTTATTTTTTTTTTGTACTCATTTCAGAGCAATCATTTTCAACAATAGGCACAGATTAAGGATTTGCTCACCCTCTCAGTCCTGAGGGGAAGCTTTATCACTGCAGTGGTGCAGCAGTACTCAATCAAAACTTTGGCCATATATACAGGTAATATAGGTGATGTCCTATATTCCCAGACATGCTTTACTATACAGCCAAATAAAGTGCTCATTGAGGTTGTCTTTGAATGATGTCTTCTGAGTTGTTAAAGAGGCTGGAACTCCTCTGTTAATCTATAAAGCAGATAGCAGGCCTGTATAGTGTTTTCACACATTTTGATTTGAGGTACATGGACTGTAAAGAAATGCTTAGTATATAGAGCAGTGGGGTGTTGGCGCATCCTCACACATGGCCTTTCTTTTTTTTTTTTTTAAAAAAAAGAAGAAAAGAAACAATCTTCCTTTTGCTTGCCCACCAGCTCAGTCCCCACCAATACAGTGGCATATTACAGTACTACATGGAGTAATCATGCAACCATCTCTGCTGACATTGAACGAGTTTCCAGCCAGAGCCAAAAAAAAAAAAAGTTCATAGTTAGGGGATAGAATGCACACACTATCTCCTTTACTTGTAAATAGTCAGGTCCTTGATAATGAGCCATCTCATTATCACTAGAGTGCACCATTGATGGCTGGATCTATATTTTGTAAGAAAAAGAAAGGACAAAAAAAGGAAAGAGGCCCCCCTCCTCCCCGTCTTCCTGGTGTTCTCACTATGTACAATATTGCACGATGATGAAGCATTAAAAAAAAAGACAAAAAAAAAAACGGGGCTGTTGCATCTCAGTTTCTCCATTTGGATTGAGACTTATTTTCCTCTTTTGTTTCCTTGGAAGCAAGCATCAGCAGTATAAAAAGCATGGTTATTTATTGTGACAGTGTCATGTTTCTTTGATTAAAAAACTGGAAAATCAAGTTTGCTTGTGTTGTGCCTCTTGCTTCCACAAGTGCAGCACTTCAACAACATGGTGCTCAAGACAAATGCGCTACACAATAACATCTAAAAGCATTTATTTTCTGGAAAAAAAAATTAAATATGATCATGAGAATAGGCATACTTTAACTACATCAAAAATAAGTTGTCATCAACAAAACCTGCAAAGTTTCCACTCACTCAATGCCTAACACCAGGCTTTAACCCAACAGAAAACTGACAAAAGTACAAAAAATATTTCATTGTAAAAGATGAACAAAAACCTTGAACACATACTTGTATAGTAATATATCATTTATGCATTCCAAAGTACTGTTACATACTTCAGCAGTAAAAAAACAAAAAGGTAATTCAAACCCAGCTCGGTTTCAGAGCCCCTGACCAGTCTAGGGGATGAGGAGGCAAACAGAGCTTGGAACACAGTATTCAGAAAAGTTTGACAGCTTAAATTTGTCCATGAATACACTGGAAATGAATCAAAAGGCCTTCAAAAGCATTACAGGTGGCAGTTAAGAAGCCACTGAAAGTTTCTACCTGGCCTTGTAACGCTATAACCAAACTAAAGCACCTAAACATACCAAAGTTAGAAACCTAAACATACCAAAGTTTATAAAATTTTGGTGCCGGTACATCTGTTTAATGTATCGATGTTCCCATATCTTAGCCATTTGCTGCTATTTTTAACTGTCTTGGATATTTAAAAAGTTTAACTGGAAAGTTGCACATGGTTATTTACAAAATACAACTGTGTTAAGTAAAACGGGTGAACTCAAATAAAACTATTGTGCAACAGAAGACACAAGGAGGAAGAGGTCAGGAGACATACGGTAGGATTTTTCCCAGGGAATTTAATAAGCAACAATCATAATCAGATTAAAATGTTTGTAAAATGTCCATCCTGTTTTTTTTTTCTTAAAAACAGCTCCACAAAAGAAGCAAAGAGCAACAAACACAAAGGAAAAAAATAACATGTTTTTTGAGTAAGACCTACATACAATGAGCTTCAAATCATGACTACAAGGTGTTCAAAACCTTCTAGGATGTCAGTGGTGTGTGTGTGAGTGTGTGTATGTGTGTATGCATCCTTTATGTGTGTGTTTTACGAAAGGTCCATAATGTGTCCAGGAAAGCTTTAAGAGTCAGAGGAGCATGTGCGTAGGGTTGGGAAGGTTATGAGGAGGAGTCTGGCCCATTCTCTACAGTCTGGATTTCACCTTCACCGGTTTTCTCTTTACCTGAAAGACAATAAGGTTTGAACTCAGCGTTGGTCTCGGTGATTTAAAAGACCATGTCAACAAAGAGAGTTTGCAGGTAAAACAAACTAAATAAAATGTGTTACTTAATAAGCTTTTGAGGAGTTAGTGTATTTCTAAAAATGGAAACGCAAACTCAGTGTAGTATTGGGGGGGTTGATTGACACATACAAGACGCAAGAGCTTGTAGCTGTAGTGAGATTCTGTGTTTAGAGACATCCTGGACTAAACCACCTCCCTGCCAGTCTGCCTACGTTCTCTCCACTGTTGTGTTCTCCCTGCCTGCCAAAGGGAACTCTACTCCATGTGGACTTCGTATCTCCCTGGCTATTTGTGTTGAACCTGGCTGCACAGCTGGTCTGTCCTTGGGTGAGGGGGTATCTCTCTCTGTCCCTCCTGCCACAGATAACACCCCCCAGGCTGGACTCTATCTCAGTGTCCCCTTCGCTCCTGGCGACTGTCCCTACATCTCTCCCTGTCTCCTCTCCAGGCTCCCTCCTCCTCACTTTTTCCTTCTCTCTGCTCACAAACGGCCCCCACTGAGAAAAAAGTTGACACTTGAAGGACAGTGGGACTCCTGTGTAACCACAGGATTAAGTTATGTTCATTACCTATTGATTAAAAAGACACAAACTGGGACTAAAAAGTTAAAAGCACCACTCTGAAGCCTTTCCGTTTGGCCTTTCAGTTTTCTCTAGTCTATTATTTATCCGCTAATATGGACTACTTTACTTTATGTCATGCCTGTTCTTTCCTCAGCTCCTTTTTTCACTCTTACCTCTGTAAGTCAATCTGTCTCTTTGTCCCTTCATCATTCTGCGGCTGCTGTTTTGACATCTTGATGTTGATTGACTCTGCAGACGGGTTGGAGTTGGGGTCAGCTGCTCTCTTCCTGCCTCTGCCAGCTCCACCTCCTGTTGGTGCCGCTGCTCCCTCTTTTTCAGCCGCTACAGGAGCGGCTGCTGTTTTAGGCGGACGGCCACGTCGCTTGACAGGCGACGCTTCTGTCCCGGCATCAGGGGTCACATTTTGACTTGGCTCCTCCTGAGAGACAGTGGCAAAAAGCTCAGTCAAGACAACACAGCTTTAAGCTTGAGTATGTGTAGTTCCACTTCCCATCTGGTTCTCCTTTCTGAACTTACTTTCTTCACCTCGTCATTCTTGATCACTGGGTTCTCGTTGTTTTCCTGCGCTCTGCTCTCTGATGGCTCGGTGGCAACATTGCTGTTACTACAAGACAAATTTAAAAATCACTCAGTTGAAATATACATTATTCTCTGTTTATGTGTACATGGGAGTGAGTGCTTGATTACCTGTTCTTGTTGATGGTTGAGGAGCTCAGTGGAGAGGAGTTGGTGCTGGTGTTACTCGCTGTGTCTGAGGCTGGGGTGGTCTTGGTGAAGAGCCGTCTTCCCGGTACTGTCAGAGGCTTGTTCACAGCTCCCAACACTGGAGCTGTTTTAGGCTGCTTAAAGAAAAGGAAGGAGTGGTGAGGTGTAATGATGGGGCTTCAATATATCACTCAAGTCTATATTAATGCTCTACATGTAGCCCTCTCTCAGACATGATCTTTATACCTGTATAATACAAATGTTGTCATATGAATATTTGAACAGTCAAAATAAAATGATAAGATATATTTTCCCTTCTTTAGCTTGACATTATAATGTACTCCAGTTTCGCAAATTAATGCTAAAAAGGTGGTGGTGCCATCTTGTATTCCAGCCCTCCACCCACTCTTAAAACAAACCTTCTAATATTCAAACATTACAAACTCTGACACGGATTGCTCAGCACTCTCCTGACAGTATGATACTGTTTACAGTGGTTATAAAAGCATGACGTGTTTTGTATTTACCTTTCCAGTGAGCAGCATTTGTCTCATGTCTGCCAACAGATACTCTTTATCATTTTTGAAGTCCTGTTGAAATAAATTACAACAGAAAATTTTATTAGTATAAACTGCTAAACCACAAATTTCAACTACAAAGGTCATGATTCTGGCTTTAATCCTCAAAGCGTGTGCCCGTATTCATCCAACACTGAGTGGATTTAAGTGTTGCTTAAGAAGAGTTTGAAATGTTCGGTGTTGTGGGGCCACTCTCTCCAGAAGGAGAAGCAAAGGTTGTATTTATGTTTCTTTTGAACAAGATTCAATACATTATGATTACACATATGATTGTGTGTGTGTTTGAGTCTGTGTATTGCCTTGTCCTGTATGAGGAAGAACTTGGAAGGTAAGACGGGGTCTTTCGGAGAATCCAGGTGACATGCGGTGCTCTTGTTGGCGATCACGAAGAGAGCAACATCACAGACAATATACAGCTTCTGTAGCCACAACAACACAAGAAACAGGACAATAGTTTGTGCTTCCTTTCTTTTTAGAAATAATACCTACCATTAACATAAAACTCTTCACATTTTCAACAGCCTTCTGACCCTGTGTACGCTCACATGCATAGCCATTTTCATGTTGGCTCTTTCACTGATTTAGGGTCGTGTTTTATCCCTTTTTTGTTTTAATTTATTCATGAATAAAAACATGTGTTAGTGTGTACCTCATTGGCCTTGGCATCATCAGGACACTGTGCGTCCTTGGTCTGTTTGATGTTCTCTACCATCTTTCTAAGAAAGGCATGACTGTTGTTCTCATTCTTGGTCATCAGCACTTCCAGCATGAACCACAGGCACCTACACAACACAAGCACGCACACAACAACACGTTGTATATCACAGTTGTAATCACTATCACTTGATTATTTGTGCATCTTTATTGTTATGAATCTAAAACGTTCTTATAAAAATTGAAAAATTAGGTTACTTTTTAAAAGACAAATTCTCAGCTGTATTCTGGGAGTCAGGGACAGTGTAGGCCACAAAACCAAAACACAGTATGTCAACACTCACTCTTTGATGTCTTTGAGCTGTTCATATTCATGTGGTTTTGTGAAGTCTGGGTCATGGGCCAGCAGGTGGATCATATAGGGAACGACATACTCAGGAAGGAGGGAGACAAGTTTTTCTGAGGGGAGACAGAGAATACCTAATTTTAATGTCCATAAGTATGTTTCCATCCAGTCATCCTTATGTGTCTGAATTATTGTGAGCTGAATATGAAACCGTGACATGCCAACAGATTCAGGGTTAAAAAAAGTACTTAAAGAAAGCTTGTCCTAGATATAGCACTTTAAACCTTAGCAAACTTAGCTTAGCAAATTAATGACATACATGCGACTTCAATATAAACTGGTATAACTTCTGTTCCACTGGAGGGATGAGAAATCTACGTGGAGCAATAAAGAGACTAGCATTCCTCAAAATTATATATGAAATAAATTCAAATGACATA